TTATGCGGTTGGCACAGCCCTACCTTGCCCCACTTCACTGACTTTTGCAGCATGTTTTGAACTTCCCCACAGGAGAAAATCTGCGAAAACTCTCCGGCAGCACTTTGAGATTTTGCCACGAAAGGACGCGACGCGCTTCAACGTCTTTTCTCCCTCCCTCCCCGCCACGTGCTCTGAAATCCCTGCCCATAGGGGAACCGATGTCGGATTTGAAAGGTGCTTGGCACTCACTCGCCTTTCGTTCGAAGGATTTAGGTGGCGGTCAAGGATGAGAGTTGCAAGTGGCGACACCTCCGGCGCACGTCACCGCGTCACGCCGCGCGGCGTATGCAGCCGATGCCGGCTGGACTTTTTTCAGAGCGAGGCGACAGCATGGCACGTGCTCAGACACCTTCTGGGCTTCATGCATAATGCTCTTTGTGTTCCCCGGGAAGGATGGACGAGTGACAAGGAGGACTGAGTTGCTTCCAGAATCTTAAATGCTTTTCGCTCGCTTTCTTCCTCTTCTCGCTTTGCTCGACCGCATCTCCCCCTCGCCAGGAGCAGCGAGCATCAGTGACACGCTTCCGAGTCTGGCATGGCACGACAACCGAGGCAAGACATTTATTTCTTGAGCACGCTCCTTTCTCCGAATTTGGTTTCCTCTTCGTCCGGTCCCTTGCTCCAGGAGAACTGGCAGACAGTCATCATGACGTGACGCACAAGCGGCGCTGTGAAAAGGTGAAGACGTGGAGACCCGACGGGTGTACTTTTGGACCAAGATAGCGTCAAGCTCAGCTGTATCGTGCGTTGTCTCCGTCTACCCACAGGAGACCAGATAAGGGAATGCAATGCCTTGATAGTCGTACAATATGCCCGATTCTCTTTGAATGAAAGAAGCCGTTTCTCCGCTTTTCAATCCAACGCGTATGCTAATCGGGTCCATATTATTTGGGACAATTCCGCGGCCAGGTCCACAAAAGCACTGCGGGATGTGTTTGGAGTGGAGGAAATGCCCCGAATTCAACCTCATCAAACCCCGTTTGGAAGAAGAGCGATTGTGAGCCAGGCCCTGTCGTCCAAAAGCAGTAACCTTGAAACCCGCTCACATCATCAATAGCTGGAGAAATGGACAATTTTTTTCCCCCCAGTCAAAAAATCCCGTTCCAAGTCATTCAACACGTGCGGAAGCTGTTGGAGAATGACCAACTTTAATCTGCCATTTCGGCATTTTTGTCCATAGAGCAAAAATGATGCATGCCAGTCAAAAATTAGATCAGTTAGTCATTTCGAGAAGGCTTTCATGAGTGTCGCCTTGACTCCATACCCCGTGATGATTTGGGAATTCAGCACGTCGGTCTCACAGTGCAGAGGTGCGGGGTTGGATTCCGGCTCCGGCCTTCCTGCGTGGAGCTTCGCATGTTCTCCCCGTGCCTGCGTGGCTTTTCTCAGGGTGCTCCGCTTTCCTCCCACATTCCAGGTTGTTGGGAACGCTCGAAATAATCCCTGGGTGTGAGTGTGAGTGGAAAATGGTCGCTTGTCGATGCGGGCCCTTGATTGGCTGGCGACCGGTTCAAGGGAGGACCCCGCCCACTGCCCGAAGACGGCTCTGATCCGCCCCGGCACGCCCGCGACCCTCGTCAGGATTCAGCAGTTTCAGAAATATGGATGGATGTTGAAATTCTCTGTCAAGCGCTTCGAAAGAGAGTCACCTCAGCTCGCTGCCTTGAGCATGAAACGGGAAGGGGTCAAAGAGGGCAAACGGTGGGCTCTCGCTTCTCAGATGTTCCATCGCATGTTCCATCGCATCATCAGCATCAGCCGTGTCAGCAAGCTCCCGGTGTGTTGCCCAAACGCGGCTTCGAGAGAAGAGCGTGCCTCCCACAGTGCTTTGGCGAAAGAGTGCTAATGAAACGTTTTTGAAATTCAAAAAGGTACAGTTGGTGCTCATCTTTTTATTTCATCAAATCTGCGATCGATACAAGTCGAGCCTTTGTGCTTAAAGACTCGGTCTGATTTGTCTCCGTTCAGAGACGCGGGGCGAGCTGGATGTTGACGTGCGCTCCAGTAATCTCATCGGACACGCGGTTCCACCTCAGCACCCGCTTTTCACTCCCCTTCAGCATCGCTATGATTAGGCCTCGGAATTGGATTTTGTGCACTTCGATCATTTTTATGTCGTGTTTGTGTGCTTAATGCGCTCGCTTCGCTCCCCCCTCCTTTCGCCACGCATTCCATTTCCACCAAACATCGCTGTTGTCACTCGAAAGAAGTTTGATACCTTTTCTCCGACCGTGAATCAAAGCGGCTCCAAATGCGCTGTCTCGGGAAGGCGTAGCATGGTTTGTTCTCGATTTGAGGATCGGCATTTACAGTCATTAATTGTTCTCGAACGGGTGAGCTTTGATCTCGACGAGTCCACAAAGCATGATCCCGAATTTGCAGTCGCATAATTTTAGTGACAACAATCGAGACTGTATGAAGCAATAAATAATACATGCACAAAGCTGAAAGGCTTCCAAAGGCAAGCCAAACAATGAGCGAGATGGTAAAAGCATTTCGAGCACTTTGTGTACAAAGGGAGCGCAGAGTGTCCAGTCAAGTGCCCCGTTGGAAACCGTCAAGCAGTTGACTCACTTCCACAAACGGCTAAAGTGTGTATCTAGGAATTTGGAGCTTGCGATAGATGACGCCTTTCTGAAAAAAAAAAAAAAATCACAAACTCCGTGAGTGAGACATTTGCGCATGGCACATTAGCCCCCTTTCACTGTAAATGCCCCAAATAAGGCCGATGTACCGTAGCCGATGATGATGCATGTACACATTATCAGGTTCATTATTCATAACCATATAATTGTGAGTACGTCAATTATGACACAGCCTGTGGTGGTCGCCTTCATTGCGCTACTTACTTTCTACGTATGGTGGCAAGGCAGGAGGAGGAGGAGAATCGGCTATTTTCAATCAACTTCCAGCAGCAAAAAGCGTGCATCGTGATTGTTTGCCTTGCATTCTGCTTCGCGTCGAGGAGAGCTTGGCACAGATTGCTCTTATTGGGGATCTGAATGTGCCGACTGCTCATGAAAGGGGCAGACCTATTCGAGTGGGATGCAGGGGTTGCACGCCCCCCTCCCCCACAAAAAAAAAAATCCTTGACTTTTTCCGATCTCGTCAAGCTGTTTTGTTTTTTTTAATGAATGTAGATATGTCATTGTCGGCACGGCGCTTGACCGGTTAGCACGTACACCTCACAGTGCAGAGGTCGTGCATTTGAATCCGGCCTCCCTGTGTGGAGTTTGCACATTCTCCCCGTGCTCGCGTGGGTTTTCCCAGGGGACTCCGCTTTCCTCCCACATTCCCCAAAAAACACTCGTGGCAAGTTAATGGAACACTCTGAATTGTGCCGTGGTGTGAGTGTGAGTATGGATGGATTTTGGTCTATGCGTGCCCTGCGAATGGCTGGCAACCGGTTCAGGGTGTCCGAAGACGGCTGGCATTGGCTCCGACGCGCCAGGCGACCCTCCTGAGGATTTGGCAGTTTCAGATAATGGATTTACAGATATGTTTTGCTTCCCACATCTCTATTTTCCCTGATCAATTGTTTTTTGCCGATTCAATCAATTACAGGTGAAGATAGTAAGAGTGATTATACGGCGCTAGCAAGAAAAACTTTGGAGCGCCCTGGTCTCTCTGGTCTACTGTATGTCGGCAACCGCTGGCTTGGGATATACCGCGAGTGTCGTTTTCATGACTTGAAAGTTGGTGGGGTTCAACTCCAACTAGAGCCTATTTTGCTTGCAACTGCTGCACACGGCATAATTTGGTCATAATCCTCTCAATGCATTTATGAATAGCTGATAGATTTTTTAGTTTTTTTTTTAGCTGCTCCAAATCTGTCTCTTATTCATGTCCTGACAGTCCTGTGTCAGCCCTTGTTCAGTGATTGGAGAAAGTGTCTTCCTCCTCACATTTGCTGCCCATGACAGCTCCTCCCAGGGGAGAGAGTCATTCGAGCTTGTTGGAGACAGAGCACAGGCCAGAATATCCTTCCCGCGCGGACTGAAGCAGACTACAGACGAGGGCCGCGGAGACAAGTAGCTGACCTTGATTCGACCTTGTTTGGACGAAGTCGCTCTCAGCAGGCGGCAGCTGGGTGCCGACGCTCCAGACAGAAATACTCAGCGAGTGGCGCGACACCACGATGACAGCGCCGCAGCATCTGGCAGTTAACTCTGGGCAGCTCTGACGCCGACAGCGACGCAGACATCCCTTCAGGCTGGATGAACGATATCATATTACAGGTTCACACACAGGTGGCACTCTGTTGTGTATACATCAAGCATTAAAACACAGTAGTTGCATAAGAACCAAGCTGTGAGCAATGTGACGCCCTGAAATGATGCCAATTGAAAGTCATTAACACAGGCAGGCATTTGAAGTTTTACCAGGCAAACTTTTGGTGCGTTATAAATATATTACCCTCCCGCGTGTATAATTTTATGATAGACTCTTGCCCTCCCTGAGTTTGAAGCTAAATG